CTTGTTCCCATGGTGCGCGGACAGAGGTGGCCATCATCCGACCAGCCGGTCGTTGTTGACTGGCCTTGTGCCGCGCACAATTAGCGCACCCTCGGACGTACCGGGCAATTTCCCGAAACATGCCGGGCCAGTAATATAGCTGGGCCACCCGAGCCAATGTTTTGGAAATGCCTAGGTGCCCGGCGGCCGGGTCGTCGTGCATTCGCTGAAGCAGGGCGGGTCGTTGGTCTGTAGGCACGCACTGCTTCCATTGCTCTTCGGCTGGTGTTTCCCGGAAGTCCAGATCGTGGAGTATATGCCTGTACAATCGTTGATCCTGGATTTTATAGTCCGGGTGATCGGTCGGATGTCTCCGTACTTCGGCTAGTTTACGGTGGTACCACCGGCATTTCGGCCGGGTCACCGCCAAAGCTTCCGGGAGGCGGGAGAGGGCATCTGCCACCTGGTTAAGTGTCCCGCGCCGGTACTGGATGTCGAAATCATGTTGTTGTAATTCGAACATCCAGCGGGCTAGTCGTCCGGTAGGGGCCTCGATGTGTTGTAACCACTTTAAAGCTTGGTGGTCGGTCACGACGGTGAATCGGTAGCCCTCGAGGTAATCCCGCATCCGGCGTATACCCCACACGACAGCCAAGCACTCTAGTTCGGTAGCGCTATAATTCTTCTCGGCTGCGTTGAGGGTCCGGCTGGCGTACGCGATAACCCGCTCTCCTTCGCCGAGGTGTTGGGTTAATACGGCCCCTAACCCGTGGGCGCTGGCGTCGGTTTGTAGTAGAAATGGTCGCGCAAAATCTGGACAGGCGAGGACAGGTGCGGTGGTTAAGGCCTGTTTTAGTTTCCGGAACGCGGTTTCTTCTTCTTTTGCCCAGGTCCAGCGCGCTCTCTTTTTAGTGAGTCGAGTGAGAGGGGCGGCGATAGTGGAGAAGTCAGCGATGAATCGGCGGTACCATGACGCTACCCCCAGAAATTGCCGAACCCTGCGGAGGGTCGTGGGGGCAGGCCAATCGGTAATGGCTCGCACTTTTTCTGGGTCCGTCCGGATTCCGTGCCGATCGATAACGTGTCCGAGGTACCGAAGACTTGGCCGGCAGAAGTGACACTTTTCTGGGTTGAGGCGGAGTCGGGCGTCACGGAGGCGGCGAAAGACTTCGGCCAAGTGGCCTAGGTGCTCCTCGAAAGTACGGGACGCGACAACTATGTCGTCCAAGTAGACGAGGACGTGGGGTTCTAACTCGGGTCCTAGCACGGTGTCGAGCAGCCGTTGGAAGGTGGCCGGTGCTGAATGCAGTCCGAATGGCATGACGCGGAACTGCATCAGCCCTCTCCCTGGCACCGTGAAGGCGGTTGCGGGGCGGCTCTCCGGAGTTAGTGGCACTTGCCAATACCCGCTGCGTAGGTCCAACGTGGACAAGTAGTGTGCGCCTCGTAGCTTATCTAAGGTGGCGGCAATGTGAGGCAGCGGGTATGCATCTTTTTCTGAGGCCGCGTTTAATCGGCGGAAGTCTATACAAAATCGGTAGGTCCCGTCTTTCTTCTTTGCCAGCACTATCGGAGAGCTCCAGGCGCTGGTGGAGGGCTCGATGACTCCTTCGGCTTCCATCTTTTGGACCTCTTGGTCGATCACGGCTTGCATGGCCGGATTACGGGGCCGATATCGTTGTTTAATGGGCGGCCCCGGTTTTAGCCGAATTTGGTGTGTGGCTTTGTCGGTCGGGCCGCGGACCGATTCGAACTTTGGAAGTTCGTTATTTAGAAAGGCCTGTAGCCTTAGCGCCTCGCTGGTAGTTCCTGGGCTGATACTGGCTGTCGCGATTCCATCTTTGGTTGTTGTCTCGGTGACAGGTCTGGGCGGCGGGCGCAGCTCGACTCCTAATTTCGCCCAGAGGTCTATGCCTATTAGTACGGCGTTGTCTAGTTGTGGTAGTACGGAGAAGCGGTGGCGGTACGATTTTCCTCGTAACCTGACCGTTGCTTCGATGGTCTCGGCAATGGGGACTTGCGTCCCGTCGGCCAGGCGTATCTGGGCTGCCTTGAGATCTGGGCTAGACGGTGTGCGGTTGATTCGGCGGGCCGTTTCAGCGTTTACGAATGAGATTTCTGAGCCGGAATCGAGGAGGCCCCACAAATGTTGTCCGGCGATCTGGATCCGGAGGTGCGGTCTCGGGTTGTATTTTAGGCCGAGTCGGGCTGGACGACGGCCGCGACGTCTCCGGCCCGCACCCCGTTTCCCGTCGGGGGGTGGCAGTCACGGGTGAGGACCCCGTCCTTGCCACATCTCGAGCAGAATTTCTTCGGAGGTCGCTGGCAGTGCAGGCGTGTATGTCCTCGTTGCTTGCACCTCCAGCAACATTCCTCCCGACTGTAGACCGCGGAAGCTACGACCGGGGTGTGGCTTTGCGGCACGTCCCTTCGTCGTTCCTGTCTTCGGCGGTCGGCCTCTTCGTATTCGGTGGCTCGGATGCTCAGATCCCCGACGCTGAGCACGTCCGCCCGACGGATGTACAATTGGTACTCCGGATCCATGTTTTCGTAGAGCTGTTCCAGTTGGTCTAGGGGTGAATATCCCCCGGCGCGCCGCATCATGGTCAGGACCTCGGTGGCGTACTTTTGGAAGGACTCTTTAGGGCGTTGTTGACGTCCCTGGATCGTCCTTTTCATCTGTCTCTCATACCCGCTTGGCAGGTATTGCTGGCGGACAGCTTGGCGAAAGTCGGCCCAGCTGGCTATGGTATCGCGGATGTTGCGATACCACAGCAGGGCGTCTCCCCGTAAGAGTTCGGGTAGCCCTAACAGCATCTGGGCGTCGGTGTAGCCGTAGCCCAGGCACAGCTCTTCCGTACGCTCGAGGAATGCCAGGGGGTCCTTGCCCTCGAAGTGGCACCCCCATTTTCGGATCTGGTCCATGATCCTGGCTGGTTCAACAGGTGTCGGGGTGGTAGCTTCTTCGTCTTTGGTTGGGCTTCCGGTGGCCATTTCGACGTTGATAGTGGGCACAGGTAGGTGAGTTCGAAATAGCGCGGGGTTTTGCCCGACAAATCGGCGGAGGCGTCGGCGGACCTCGTCTAAAGTTCCTTGGCTATCGATTCCGTGTCTTTTGGCCAAGGCAATAGCTTCGGTTTTTGATAATTGATTTACCCACGCGGGCATCTGGATAGGCTTAAGCGAGTCGGGATCTCCACTGGGCAGGTCCCTGTTCGGGCGCCATGTAACGGTTCACCTTTCCCGACGCCGCGGATCGGCTCGCCGGTTCCAGGATTCGGGAGGAAGGGGGAGATTCAGACTCGCTTATTCCTTATTAACAATACTTTGGTTTATTCAAAAAAAAAAGTAAACAAAATGATTGTTGGCATAAAGCCTAAATAGAGAAACTTATTGACTACTCGGTATAAACGAAATGTTTGTTGGCATAAAGCCCTAAATAGAGAAACTTATTGACTACTCGGTATAAACGAAATGTTTGTTGGCATAAAGCCCTAAATAGAGAAACTTATTGACTACTCGGTATAAACAAAATAAGGAGGCGTATAGCCTGTAGCGGTGTCCGGAAAAGATTTACAAATTACCCGGTATAACTTAGAGATACGGTGTACGGAGGCGTATAGCCTATAGCAGGAGAAACCGGAAACCGGGAAACCCGGCGTAACAACGAGAAACCCGTTGCCCGGCGTATAGCAGGAAGAGACCGGAAACCGGGAAACCCGGCGTAACAACGAGAAACCCGTTGCCCGGCGTGTAGCAGGAAGAGACCGGAAACCGGGAAACCCGGCGTAACAACGAGAAACCCGTTGCCCGGCGTGTAGCAGGAAGAACCGGAAACCGGGAAACCCGGCGTAACAACGAGAAACCCGTCACCCGGCGTGTAGCAGGAAGAGACCGGAAACCGGGAAACCCGGCGTAACAACGAGAAACCCGTTGCCCGGCGTGTAGCAGGAAGAGACCGGAAACCGGGAAACCCGGCGTAACAACGAGAAACCCGTTGCCCGGCGTGTAGCAGGAAGAGACCGGAAACCGGGAAACCCGGCGTAACAACGAGAAACCCGTTGCCCGGCGTGTAGCAGGAAGAGACCGGAAACCGGGAAACCCGGCGTAACAACGAGAAACCCGTTGCCCGGCGTGTAGCAGGAAGAACCGGAAACCGGGAAACCCGGCGTAATGACGAGAAACCCGTCACCCGGCGTGTAGCAGGAAGAGACCGGAAACCGGGAAACCCGGCGTAACAACGAGAAACCCGTTGCCCGGCGTGTAGCAGGAAGAGACCGGAAACCGGGAAACCCGGCGTAACAACGAGAAACCCGTTGCCCGGCGTGTAGCAGGAAGAGACCGGAAACCGGGAAACCCGGCGTAACAACGAGAAACCCGTTGCCCGATACTAAAGGTAGGAGGCCAGAAACCGGGAAACCCGGCGTAACAACGAGAAGCCCGTTGCCTGGCTAGGAGGTCCGGAACAGGACTGGTGCCGGCTCATCCGTCGAGCCGGCTTATATACCCTGCCGGCGGTTCCCCCACTCTACCTCGAGGCTGTGGTGGGGGTAACGCCGGCGTCGTAGTGGGGCGCCTCTGGGGGTTGTAGTGGGGCGCCCCTGGGGTAGGGTGACCCGTGTATCAGTTATGATTTTGTGCTTAGGGGCGCCTTAGGCGCCATAGCCTCAAGTGGCGGGCGGGTGATCGGCCCGCGAGGCGTTAGTAACGGCCACGCCGTTACAAGCTGTCTCTGTCTATGTAAGGAGAAAGCGAAGCAAATGGACTAGTTTTTGAGACGAACGTAGTTGTTTTAGGCGAGCTATGTCGTCAGCAAATAGATTGAGTTGAATCCGTCGATTCCAAAAATTATGAGCGGCGACCAGCTCATCGGACCGGAGAGCATGCGGGTGCGAGTCAGAGGCATCGCATTGTGTTTTCGTCTGGGTACGAGCGTTGCGAACGAAACGAAGGATATACGCGGTGACGCGCAGTAATTTCGGCCACGAGGAAAATCGGGATTCAAGCTCCCAATGGTTTACCGAGCATGTCGCGCAAGCTTTTGAATCGCGTAATTCACTATGCGTTGCCGGGATGTCGGATATGACTGACCATTGATTGAACGAATGTGATAACCATGGTGGGCCGTGCCACCAAAGTTGGTGATTAATAAGAGAGGCAGGGTCGGTACCGCGAGATGCGCAATCTGCGGGGTTGTCGTGCGTGGGCACGTGATTCCATTTTCCATTGGGAAGAAGCTGTTGCATTTTTGAGACTCTATTTGCGACAAACGTCTTCCACCGCGAGGGACTTTGACGTATCCAAGCGAGGACGACCATGGAAACGCTCCAACACCAATAATCGATATCGGGAAGGTGAAGAGCAGAACGAGCGAAATCTATGAGTTGTGCTAGTAGGAGCGCAGCGCAAAGCTCCAAACGCGGGACGCTAATGGTTTTGAGCGGCGCGACTTTAGACTTAGCGAGGATCAGAGTATTGGTAATGCAACCGTCGCCCGAAATGACACGGAGGTAAAGCGCTGCCGCATACGCTCGCGTGGAGGCGTCTGCGAATCCGTGTAATTCAATTCTGTTGTTCGGATGATACTGCGTCCAGCGCGGAATAGTTAACTGCTCAAGGAGAAGCAACGTCAATTGAAATGTTTCCCATTCGCGCAACATCTCGGCGGGAAGCTCGTCATCCCAATCAGACTTCGTCAACCAGAGATGCTGCAGGAAAATTTTCGCGGTTACGATAACGGGAGCTACCCACCCGAGTGGGTCGAAGAGTTGCGCGATGACTGATAATATTCCGCGCTTAGTTTTCGCGACTGTTATTAAATTCGAAACTTGAAAGGTGAAGATATCGTGTTCCGGTTTCCAGGTAACTCCGAGAATTTTAATGGAATCGTGATCGTGCAAATCTTTGTTGGTTGCGAGTCCATGGTCGGAAGGATCGAGATCTTCAAGGAGCGTAGGGCAATTGCTCGCCCACTTACACAAACGAAAACAGCCTTGAGATAGCAACGAAATTAACTGATCTCGTGTTTGTTTGGCAGTTTCAAGGTCGTCGGCGCCGAAAGTACAGTCGTCGACGTACGTTTGCTGTAATAGAACCATTACCGCGAGCGGAAACTGTGAGCCTTCGTCCTCGGCTAATTGCCGTAAGACTCGCAAGGCCAAGAATGGGGCAGCGGCGGTGCCGTAAGTGACGGTAAGAAGTCGGTATTCGTCGACCTGAGCCGTCGGAGACGATCGCCATAAGAGGCATTGATACTTCGTATCGAGAGGGTGTACTAAAATCTGCCTATACATTTTGGCGATGTCCGCTGATAGTGCAAATCGAGGTTGTCGCCATTGGAGGACGACCGCTACTAGATCGGTTTGCAATTTTGCTCCTACATGAAGAGCGCTATTTAATGATTTGCCGGTGGCGGTGTTGCACGACGCGTTAAACACAACACGAAGTCGGGTTGTATTGCTATGTTTACGGATCACGGCACGGTGTGGAATGTAGTACGCGGGAGCTTGGGCGGGAAATTCGGTAGGATTTATCTTAGTCATATGACCTAGGTTTGCGTACTCGGTAAGGAATGCGGTGTATTCCGTTGCTAACGATGGGTCGGTTCAAAAACGACGTTCGAGCCGTTCGAGACTCTTCAACGCGGCGAATCAAGAGTCTCCAAGGTCGCGAGGCGGGCCATTTCTAAAGGGAAGACGCACGACGTAGCGTCCTTCCATGGTGCGGTAGTGAGTCGTCACAAAATGCTCCTCACATTGGGTGTCTTCCGGACTCGGATGAACGCGGGCTGGGATATCTTCGAGTTCCCAGAACTGTTTTAAGGTATGCTCAAGATTAGGTGAAATGTTAGTATGATATGCGGGTACGGAATTGCGGGGGCAGGTTTCGACGGTAGGACCCGAGAGAATCCAGCCGAACGCGGTATTCTGCGCGAACGGTTCGTGTGGTGTTCCCTTGTGTGAACCGTCGCGATGAATATTTCCATACATATCGGCTCCAATTATTATATCGATTGGCGTAGGACTCAGGAAATCAGGATCGGCTAATTCGAGGGCGTCGAGGTGCGTCCACTTAGTGTGAGACGCAACGGGAGGTGGCACGTATTCCGCGAGCGAACACAATATTAAAGCCGTCGTCGAATACGCGGGATTGTTACTTTTTACGGGACTAATTTTGATATTTGCTGCGTAGCGTGCGGAAGTTTTTGTTTGACCAACGCCAGTAACGCTTAAATTTTGCTTTACTCGAGGAAGACGGAGTAATTGCGCAAGATTCTCCGTAATGAGTGTCACAGCCGATCCTGGATCGATAAGCGCGCGAGCGGGAATGAAGCGACCGTGCGCGGAATGTACGCGGACGCGCGCTGTAGCGAGCAGAACGGCGGGAATAGCTGGCATTGAACGTGTTAGGGTAAGAGCGACAACGTTTTTGTCTTGGTCTTTTTCGTCTCTTCTTTTGAATGTGACGATTCAGCATACGGTAACTTTGCGTGGTTTCCAAGGTGAAGGAGAGTGTGATGCTTTTGCTTACATTCTCGACAACGATGCTTGTTGGTGCAATCCTTTAACGCATGGTTTGCCGCGAAACAATTATAACAACGGCGGTTCGATTTAATAAATTCGAAACGGCGCTCCGGCGTATAAGCGGCAAATTGTGTACATTGAAATAAACGATGATGGCCCTTACAGACCGGGCATTCGAACTTCACGGCCGTTGTATGTGATGCTACGGATTTGGCCGATTTAATTTTTGACGAGGTAGTCTCGGCTGACTCGATGTTTTTCGTCGGGGCGATAACTTCGAACGCGCGAATGCGAGACTCTAAAAATTTGTCGAGTTGAGAATAGGACGGTAAATTTTGCGATTCGCTCATTTTTAATTCCCACGCTTTTCTCGAAGCTTTGTCGAGTTTTTGCGAAACGAGGAACACGAGAACATCGTCCCACGTATCGACGGGACGTTTTAGATTTTTCAGCGCTTGTACGGTGGTATTGGTGGTGTCACGCAGAGTCTGCAACTCTTTCGCGGTTTCATGCGTTGCCGACGGTAACGAGAATAAAATTTAAAGATGGGAGTTGACGATTCGACGTTGATTTTCAAAGCGCGACGATAAGATTTGCCACGCGACTTCGAAATTCGCATCGGTGACTGCTAAGTGACTCAGCGAAGTGCTGGCCGTTCCGGTAACGATTGAACATAAGTAATGCAGGCGTTCTACATTTGTTAAAATCGGATCGTCAATTACCATTGCTTTAAATCTATCGCGGAACGTTTCCCATCGCTCGAAAAGCCGTCAAATTTCGGTAATTCGATTCGCGGTAAACGCGAGACCGGGCGCGGACCATGATGATAATCGGTACTTGCGTTCGAAGCGTCCATGATGTTGATGTGCGGGGCGGCAATGGGAGGTATGGCAAATTCGGCCAGGTAGTCAAGGGCAGCATCCATCTGGACCTCGGCTTGTTGATACAGCTCCTCGGTGAAGTATCGATGCGTGGTCTTCGTAGCGGCCTCGGCGAGGACTAACAGCTTGGCGTTGTTGACGCGAATCTCCCGGAACTGTTCCTTGACGCGTTCCATCCGGTTTGCAGCCACGGTGGACGTCATCTTGGCGTGGCCGAGTTTTTTGAAATTAGATACGGCATTTGCAACCGATCTAACAAGGTCGAGCTGTTGCTCCAAAAGCTTTGCGGTGGTAGCCATTATTGGAATGGCGGCTGCTGCGTTAAACAACGTAGGTCGTGATCAAAGTCAGCCAAAATGTAATTGGATGATGTACTTCACGACTTGTCGTCTTCTCTCGTTAGCGATCCGGCTCGAAGGACCAAAAAATGTTGTCGATATCAGTAGGCGCGACGGCGTCGCTCTAATTCAAATTATTGTTGATCGACTGGTGGCTTGTACAGCCTCGTGAAGGCTCGCTCCGAGAGGAAAGTGATTACAGCAACGAACATATGTTTACTTGTATTTGCAGCTGATCGATAGCACGGTTCGCAGAGATCTGATTCTCGGTTTTCGGGAGCGTTCCGAGTTTTCGTCACGGAATCCTCTCTTTCTCGGGATCGGATGTTTGTTTCGGCGAATCGGAGCGACGAAAGAATAGGAGTAAATAAAATGTACACGTGACAGCGTGACTCTTATCACATGGGATGGTGAACAAGGTCGATAATGTTGTCGTGTGTCGGTTCGAACGATCAAACCTTTCCGTTGATATACGAGCGATTAATATAAGAGTCTATTGATTATACAAATTTATGACATGCGTCAACAGTTTCTGTATTCGAAAGTCCGGAGGAGATTAAAAAAAGAAACATTTTTCAATATTTCTATGTATGTAGATGTGGTTGACTATGCATTGCCATATCTGTAAGATTTATGATTAAAATATATACTTCACTGTAAATGTTTTCATAGGCTACGTTTTGATATTTACTGCCAGTATTATAAATCTGTAGTACATAATATAAAATATAGATTTTCAACTAGCAGAATGAATATCAAAAAGCAGCCTTAGCCTTAGCTGTTAATTTTAAATATACATGCTTTTATTTTAGATGGAAGCATACTTCTTGGAGATGCTGCATATCCATGCCTTCTCCAATTAATTACTCCATATCGGGATAATGGACATTTGACACAGGCCCAAAGAAATTTTAATCGTATACACAGTCAATGCAGAATTTCAGTTGAGCATGGATTTGGAATACTGAAACAACGTTTCAGACAGTTATATTTCCTCAAGTTGAGGAATATGCAATTTATCGTCAAATTCATCTTCGCTTGCTGCGTTCTTCACAATTTGGCTGACTTGGATGATTTGCAACACATGGAAGAACCTGAAGTCGACAACCATGCTGATATAAATGCGCAGGTATTGTTACATAATGTCCCAGCAGCAGATAGAAATGAAGATCCGGATGATGATCGACATGGTCGCGATCTCAGAGACGAATTATGTAGACAACTGTTTCAACGATGATTTGAATAAGAGTATCCAAATAAATTTGTTTAAATATTATGTTCTAATATTAATATTTAAATATTATGTTTATTATTTTTTTAAATATCAATATCGTGTCGTTGTCAACGTCGACATATCACATACTGCATTGTATCAATCTGTGTCGTTCAATTAAAAATATGTATGATATGTATTTAATGTACAAAACTATCAAAGTGCTTTCAAATATTTATGTTTTTTTAGTTATAAAAATTAGGAAACAATGTACAATTATAGTTTCAAGATTATAACGATTATAACCATAACGATTACACAAATATATTTCATTTATTAATAATTATGAATATTACGATTATATATCTTCTATTCAGCTCATTTTAATTAAAAATTATTAAAGTTTGATATTAAATTTTATAAAATAAATTCTTATGTAATATGTAAGACAACAAATAAAACAATTTTGTTAAAAATTTATCCATACATCAGTCTTTTATTGTCATATACGCCTATTTTTCATACAAATAGAGAAATATAACTGCATAATGCAAATATATATTTTATTATGATTTTTTATCGATAATTAACAAAAAAATGTAAATTGAACAAGAAATGACAGTTTTGATTTTCAATCACGTTTTGTACGCTTGACTGCAAGTAAATAATGCTGCTTTATTATGTAAAAAAAAACTCGATAAGTAAATGCAGCTTTTCCCAATTAAAAAAACTCAATAAATAAATGCAGCTTTTTTCAACTAAAAGAACTCAATAAGTAAATGTAGCTTTCCTCTCTTGCAGAGCTTGATACAGCTTTGTCACGCTGTTTATCAAAATAACAGAAAATAAATAAATAAAAAACTAAAATAAACTTTAATAAAATAAAAGTTATTTCAACTTGAAATAAAAATTTAAATAAAATTAACAAAATTATATAAATTTTAAATACATATAACTTCATTTACGTGAAATGTTCATAAAGTTTGTAACTTTGGTTATAAAGTAAAAAATGAAGTGATTGAAAATGTGTACATTTATTAGCTTTTTTTTACCTTTGAATCCTGTAGAGTTACACATTTTTCCCAATGATGAAAGATCTAATTATTAGATCTAATTAAGATATAATTATTGTAAAAACCAACACACTTGTCTTTTAACAAAATTAAAATTAAACTTAATAAACTGTTCATAAATTTTATAAATTTGTAATAATATCTTATTAACATTTTTTAAAAGACAATGTGTCTATTTTTATAATTACTATATCTGACAGATCTTGTCAGGAAAAATGTGTAACTTCGCAGAATTTATATGTAGAAAAGATTAATAAATGTGTTTTACTACATTTTCTCCTTTAAGTAGGCAAAGGAACAAACTTTATGAATGTCTTATGTATACATATAATTTAGTAAACCTTCAGTCTTATTATATCTTTATAATCTTCTTCGTCTGATAATTCTTGTGTTGAGTATTTTTTACTTTCTATTCTCTCTAGTATCTTAAGTTGCCTTTGTAAGATACTATTTCGTTCTTTTTGCAATTGTAATTGTTCTATTTGTAATTCATTACATTTTTTAAGCTCCGTCA